TTCACCAAACAAACATCTTCGGGCAAGGCAATAGATTTAAAAGGATATTTGTAATTAACACTCTCAGTTTCTGGGGAAGCTGGACAAATGCAGTTACTTATGTTCCACAAAAACTGGACACTGTGCAGTGCCCATCATTCATTTTTCTCACAGGGGAAGAAGGAAGCAGACCTGTCAGCTCCGGACATTCTCTCAAAGTGAAACTTAGCTTAGGAGAGCACAACAGACATCCCACACACCCAAGGGAAATGGTCCAAATATCTGACACAGCACCACTGAGAGGAAATAAACCAACCAACAAACAAAATCACCAAAACAAACTCAAAAGTTTGGCAGTTTGACTGGAGAGAAGAAAAACAGATGTTCCCATTCGGATGTATTGAAACACATTTTTTTTGCAGTCTCGAATACCAAGGGAAATCCTTCCCCTGCTTTTCAAGATTCAGAGCCGACAGTTTACCACGGAAACGTTTAGAGAAGGCTTGGCAGCATGAGTTCAAAAAGCTTCTGTTTGTCCACATCAAAACCAAGACAGTAAGACACACAAGGAAGATGCCTTCACAAGCAGCAATACCAGAAACAACAACTGTGCCTTAAGATACTCAGAACTTCTGGAAGTCCTGACAGGACCCCAGGAGAGCAGCACTGTGTGCTGGGACCCTTCCTGAGCTATTTCACCACGACCTTCCATGTTGTGTCCTGTGAACTGGAATCTCCACAGCTAAGAGGACATTCTCCATTCTATCCCTAATGACCTTTCCACACCTTACCTTCCCTCATGACTGGCACAAAGAATATATGGAATGCTGCAAATCCACTCTGGGACTCTTTGACTCTTCCCACATGCCAGGTTGCTTTGTGCCTTTGCAGCAATTTCAAATACAAATCGAGCGCTTAAAGGTTCTGTGATTAAAGTCGTGAACAGCTCTGATCCCTGTTCCACAGATTGTCTTCTTCAGGAAGACCAAACCAAAAGATGAAGCAGAAATCTACCCAAATGTCAACTGGGTGGAAGAATTTCTGCAATTGAAATTTCTACAAAGCTAGGCTGCTGCTCTGTAGATGGGAGGTTTGGTGTGTACATCCAGACACCAGAATGAGCCGTGTGTGGTAACAGGACACAAAAGCTCTACCCAGACTGACTGGGCAGGAGCACAAATAGGGGAAAACAGAGCACAGAGATGACACCCACCTCCTCAACTGCCCATAAAAATCCTGTCTGAAGAGGAGCACAGATCCACCATGGCTACAGCTTTGGAAGATGGTACAAGTGCCCCACAATACCCACAGACAGCAGGTTGAAGTGCTTCCCTCCCACAACAACTTCCCTCAAAACGGCGGCAAAAATGTTCATCAGCCTGAAGGTTCCCAACTCTTATCCATCCCATTCCCTATGCCAGGCTGCAGCAGCACAGGG